GCAAACCAAATTATTTTCTTGTAAAAACCTTCCTTTGACCTTGCTATCAGACATAGCACATCCAGTCTTATCCATTTAATTTGCCTGAATTCACATAAATTAGTCTTGCTGTGCCTCTGGTTCATTATGAATGAGTCTGTATCAGTGTTGTGCCTAAGTGACCTCACTCTGTTTCATTGGATGTCATTAAATGCTGAGCAAAAAGACAGGCTGCTGGGTCTACAGTTTAATTTTATCTGGTTAAGAAGCAGAGAACAAAACTTTTTAATGAATAATAGGTGGTGAGCCCCACTGTCCAAGCACATCGCTGGTGGGAAGATGGTTCCCGTTGCTCGTGCACCGCACCCATCCCCAGTCGTTCCTTCATCTCCTGCACTGCAGCCACTGGGGAGCAGCTGGATAGTGTCTCCGGGGGTTCACTTGGGAGATAAACACTTGACACAGATAAATGCCGTATATAGGGCTCATTCAAAGCAGCAGGGATATGGAAGTGCAGTTTGTGCTGTACAGCACTAGAGGGAGCACAGGAAGAGTCGCTAGAGAGAAACCAGCTGAGAGCACCCTGACCCTCTCGGTGGCTTGGTGAAGGCCCGGGTGATCTTGGAGAAAGAGGTGGGGGAGAGCATCTGTCGTTCGTCTCAGTGGCCAGTCTGGCCCAAACCACATCTCCCTTCTCCTTGCAACAGGGAGAAAGTAGTTTTGCCTATGCAATATATACAGTGCAGAGAAAAGTTAGGTGAAACATTTTAATAAAGATTAATTGTTGCATGGAGTGTGCAGTAGAATATAAACAGAGCAGGATCAGACTGTGCTGATTACAGGGCATAAATATTCAGAAATATTGAGGAACCAACTGCACCTTTTTAGATAGAATTGTAGGTTAATCACTACCCAGGGTCCTATGAAGCCAACAAGATGCAAGTTTAGCCTATTTTACAGGATGGCACTCTGATATATTGTCTATAATTTCTACAGTTTATTCACTTCTTAATTTAAACAACTCAGTTATTTGCAATGTTTTGTCCCAATTCTAATATGAAAGCAGTGAAGTGTTACGACCATACCAGAGTGAATGAACTTGCTACTGATGCTTCTATTGCAGTATTTGCCTAAAAAGAAACATAAAACATCAGTAATTCAGATCTGAGTGAGCAGCCTGTCCTAATCCCCTACCCGTCAGTGAGACAAAGGTTTTTTTGCACTTCTGAGACCAAAGCGATGCTTTGACATAAAGTCCCTGAGGAACTGGGTCAGCTAGCCTTGCTCATTTATACACCTATGCAGTATTTGCTCAATGTAAGCTGAATTATTTTTACTAACTTAGCAGAAGTAAAAAATGCAATTAGATGCTTAAATTAAAAGTTCAGCAATTCCTGTGTAATTGTTCTTAAAATATGTACATTTGTGCACTGGAAGACATACAGTCTTTCCTGGAAGGGCCTTGTTGGCCATGTCATATTCTGGCCAGCCACCTGTCTTATCTTGGTTCAAGGATTTTGTCCTCTTGCATAAATATGTCCTCAAAACCTTATATGTATTGGCAAATGTAAGTGCAGATACTTCTGAAGTAAATTTTAGTGCTGAGGTTTGCAATGCTGATCTTTTACCCTTGAGAGTTTTAAGTGTGTCCTTCCTGATGCAGCTGTGATTGAGACATTATCTTGCTTCAGGAGATCTTGGGTTTGATCTTCATTGACACAGTCTCCGAAATAGTGACCCAGAGGTTATGTTTCTTACTTTTATTTACTGACTCAGAGGATCTACCTCTCCTCACAGGATGCCTTTTCTGGTAGATTTAGATTAGATATCAGGAAGAAATTCTTTACTGTGCAGGTGGTGAGGCACTGGCACAGGTTCCCCAGGGAAGCTGTGGATGTCCCATCCCTGGAAATGTTCAGGACCAGGTCGGATGGGGCTTTGAGCAACCTGGTCTAGTGGAAGGTGTCCCTGCCCATGGCAGGGGTGTTGGAACTAGATGGTCTTTAAGGTCCCTTCCAACTCTAAACATTCTATGATTCGATGATTTTAGCATATTAACAGTGTGTTGGACAGACGTACTGCCTCGTGTTCGTCAATGAATGTGTCAGATCAACAGTGCATGAGGATGGCAGCATCACTGTGGATGCTTCTGTGTCCCACAGGTGTAACCGCTGGCTCTGGAGCAGAGGCGGGGGGTGCGGGAGGTGGGGTGTTCAGAGGTCCATTTATTTCTGGGGGCGTGGATCAGCAGTGATTTCTTCAGGGGTCGGTCCTTCCCTCTCTTCACGCCGAAGCCCCCGGCCTTGGGGCTGCGTGGGGGCTCCCCGGCGGTGGTGCTGAACGGACAGCTCCCGGACCGGGGTGGTGGGGGGAGGGTGGTCCCGGGGGCGGGGG